TTTACTCAAGTACTTGATTTGTGTACTTCGTCCACCACTGGTTTTAGTCCCCTGGTATAAATTGTTCCTGCAATCAAACACCAGTGTTTTGTCTTTTAGACGGAAAAAGCACATATTAGATGAGCAACTCGCTCTTTCATTGGTAGTTATTTTCTGCACATCACTGGACACCTTTCTGTATGTTAACTTCTATTCATTTTTGTGATTTTGGACAGCACTTGTGTGAGCATGACTTTTATTTTGAAAGTCGAGACTTGACGTCGTAAGGCCGCGCAGCGCTCCTGCTGCTGGCTTAAGAAAGGTTTGTGGGTTTTAAGCATTTAAAGGATGTAAATCGATACAAACTGTTAAGTCAAATACTTAGGTTTTACTAGAGGTGTAAAATTACTAACATATTATTGAATACAACATTGTAATGCTTTATCCAACATTAATGAACGTTTGTTTGCTCGTGTGTGTGCGTGCAAAGTAGTTATGGGAAGTCCGATTCTTTTCAGCGAACCGATTCTTTCGAACAATTCGTTTCAATTTTCCAGTATTGGCCAAATTCGCGCCTCACGCAGCATCAGTTGTCCGAAAGAACCCGTTCAGTCCGTGCTAGATTCACGCATTCTCAGTGTCTCCACCTCGTCGGTTCTCGGTATCGAATGTGTCCGAAAGAAACAGTTCTCGGTGTTTCGTAGCAGTAAGTTATGTTCGGTATTCACACATTCTTAGTATCGGCTGTTCGTGCTCATCGCTTCTCTCCGCACGGCAAGTTTCAGTGCTGTTGGAGTTACAGGACTAACATATACTCCGGGATATTGGTTTATTTAGAGTCGGAGGAACTGTCGGGCATGTCTGAAAATTAGTTGCTTTGGTAAATTGTGGATCAGCGCTGACTTAAGACGCGAACTGTTTTGAACAACTCAGTCCATTTTGGTGAACTGGCTCAAAAAAAGAACCGGTTCAAAAGAACGATTAGTTCACGAACCGGGGCCATGACTAGCAGTGTTGCTAAATTTAGCAACTTTTCAGACTACCCTAGCAACGTTTTCTTCCAAAAGCGCCTAGCAACACATTTAGCTATTTTAACATTTTATTTGGCTACTTAGAGCAACTTTTGATAAGTGGCTCGAACAATAAAAGGCACACATTTTCCATCTAAATTTCACAAAAAGAGGAAACCAAAGATGCCTAGCAGTACACACATCACGTTAATTAAATTATTGCTATTTGGAATTGTTCAATTTGATGATGATGATAATTTAATAACTGTTCATTTATGATACACCTCGTTGTACCTGTGATTGTTGACACTGTAAGAAAAAAATCAAGAAAAATTGAAAAGGTAGGCTTGTAGTTATTTTCCAGGACATTATCCGTTGTAAACCCTTTAACCCGAAACACAAAATACAATGCGTAATTTGTAAATGCCGGTAAGAACCTGTGAATTCTTTTTCACAGTGTAGCATACTGACTACTAATACACAGCTTAAGTCAAGTCACCTTTATTTATATAGCGCTTTTAACAATACAGATTGTGTCAAAGCAACTGAACAGCATTAATTAGAAAAATAGTGTGTCAATAATGCAAAATGACAATAGTAAACACTCATTTTTCAGTTAAAGAACTGACAGTTTAACAGTTTAAGAACAATTAGCTTAAAACTAATTGGTCAGAATGTGTAGTTTTACTAGTTCACTAGCTAATAAAAAAAACTTGTAATCCTTCAAAAATGTGTAAGCGTTCAATAATTCAATGTTGTATTAAGTTTTTTATTATATAACTATTTTATACTTTTATATTATTTTACAAACAAATCTAAATTAACATATAAAAATTTATTTTTTTCTGAGATTTGATGTAATTTTTGCATCGTGATTACGTAATAACGTCATTTAGCAACTTTTAGCAACAAATCGACCATCCTTTAGCAACTTCCCCTGAAAATTAGTTGGCAACAGTGATGACTAGTGCAAAGAGCATCCACAAGAAAAGGCGCGTTTCATTTTGCTCCCCATATCCTGAATCAGTTTATTGTAAACATTTGTTGTGCTAGTGTTGAGAGTTTTTGTCTAATCATCTCATTTAAAGCTTTTAACTCTCACTCTGACTGACTCCTTTACCAGTGCGCTGGCTACTGAACTATAGGGAGCTGATTGAGACGCACCTAGAGATTGTTTGGATTTAATTTTTCTTTGTTAAATCTTCTCCTCTTAAACAGGACAAACACAGAAAAACTCCTGCTGAAGCAACTGAGATCTACGTGACACACTATTATAAAGATGGCGTTTATTAAAGAGGAGAGTGAAGACATGAAGATTGAAGAAACATTCAGAGTCAAACATGAAGATACTGAGGAACAAACAGGTTGGTTTTCAATCTCAAAGCTGGAGTCAGTCATTTGATCCTTATTAAAATGAATGATATTTTTGAAGGATGTCATATGAGAATCCTAATTGAAATGGTTTTATTTGACATGGAGTCAGTGCCTCATGTGACATTGTTAAAATATCCAAACATGCTGAAATATCGAGAATTAACAGCATGAATTCCATGTTGGTTTATGCTGGTTAGAACTGATAAAGTGCTGGGGCCGGTTGCACCAGCTAGACGTAAAAACGCTGGGTTTAAGCCCTACGCTGAGCTTTGCAACGTCCTGCTTTACGATAAATATTTACACCTGTTGCACCAACTGAAACTATGATCAGGCGCAACTACGCCCGGCGTAGACAACGCCGACACATTCTCCCTCAGTTATAGATATAACAAAGGGTGTAACTTTGGTTTGAGAAGTGGGTGGGACACAAACTGGGGGAAAATGTTTTCGATTTGAATCCCATTTCCTGCATGTACATACATTTAGGGACTATGGTGATACAAAATCCAGGAAATAATTAAGTTGATTAATGATCAATTCTGCCAAAAAGAATAGTAGGCTACTAAACTATGTATAAGAAAAAGATGTCTTTCTTTATTGTTTAGTAGGGGCCGATCGTCAAGACTTGAGAGAATCATTTTATAAAGTCGAAAATTTTCACCATTAATGTTTAAATAATGTGAGACTCAATTTCCACTGTTAAACAAACTTTTATTTCAAACTAACTGCTGTACCTGAAAATATAAAATAAATCACTTGTTGCACAGGACAGAATGTTCTACATCAGTGGTTCCCAGACCCCTGAGGTATTTCTGCTTAGGCCTACCCCCTCTCTTCCACTTAGACTGCAACTTTTCCATTAAAGGACGATATTTGCCCCCTAAATCGACTTTCCAAAGCATTTTTTATCTTTATAAATAGAATATTGATGTTTGGAAAAAAAAAAAGTTCAATAGATTAAAGGGGTCATATGATGCTTTTTTAAAAGATCATTATTTTGTGTATTTGGTGTAACAGAATATGTTGAAACGCTTTAATGTTCAAAAAACATATTATTTTTCAAATACTGTACATTATTGTAGGTCCTCTATGCCCGCCTCTTTCAAATGCTTCGTTTTCTACAAAGTCCCTCCTTCCGACAAGCACAGTCTGCTCTGATTGGCCAGCTGACCCAGTGCATTGTGATTGGCCGAACACCGCAAGCACTCGTTGGAAATGTAACGCCCCTTACCATAATCGCGAGCGTCATCTTTCAAAATAAATGTAAAGACAGAGCCCGAAAGGGGAACAGAGTCTCGTGACAGACACAGTGATGAATGTGTTTGCAGTACACAAGCCAAGGTTAAGACAGCTGACTACACTGTGATGTCTCGTGCTCTCTCTCTCTCTCTCGTGCGCTCGCTCGCACACACACACACACACACAATGTGCAAAACTCCGCATTTGAACAGTCAATAGCAAATACTTAAACTAATAACAAAACAGTAGCTGATTCAGAAGCGCCAGATTGTCATAGCAAAGTCAGAATTACCTCCTCTCCTAGGTTCACGAAACGGTCGTCCATAAAATGCATTGCTGTTCTGTTGTAAGTAATCTTAAAGATTCCTAAATGCATCTACTTTCGGAAGGCCAAATAAAGTGCTTTTGCTTTCGCCTAGAAACACACAGCGTCTCCCTGACATGGCTGCTTCAACACTAACAGCGGTTACTGAAACCACGCCTTCTTTCTTTGCGTGAACATTTGGGCGGCATTATGCAAATATTTCCACATAGTGAGGTAGATATGTGGGGGCGTGTTAGAACGAGCCATTTTAGGGGGGCGTGGCAGAGTCTTAACTTTGATAAAGAATATCTCTTTGGTTTTGAGACTTTAGTCTTTGCAACTTCAGGCATCTTATCTATGCACAATCAGCTTGTAACACTCCAAAGAGAAAGGAAAACTTGAAATCGCATCATATGACCCCTTTAATATGCAATGATGATAAAAAGAAAAGTGATTCTTTTAAATACTAAAACCGCCAGTAGGTGGTGGTGAGTCACTGTCTTAAAGCGTGAGTCATCGAGTCATTTGTTCATTCAGTAACTAAGCAAGTGGCTGTATTTATAAATTAATCATTGAATCAATGACTTTCGCGAACGGCCCCTGGTGACCAGCAATGCTGGATTTCTCAGCAAGGAATATTTGCTTCCTAAAAGAAAACAGTCAAAAACATTAATTTCTATCACTTGATAATGCAACAGTATCAAACAAAATCTATTTTTTCCTCTATATTGCATAAAGAAAACTAAAGGGTAAGTGATTAACTACTCATTTGTAGTCTAAACCCCTCCCCCCGCCCTGTCTAACGCGCATGCACTCAGCAGCTCTTCTTCACTCGCGTAAACCTCGCCCACTCCTGACAGCAAAAT